GGGGCGGGACTTGGTCGGTATGTGGGATCCGAACCCTCGGGCGGGAGCGCCGCCGCACCTCCCAAGCGGCGCACTATCCAGTGCGCCACCGGGCTGGCCCTCAGCCAAACTTTTTTAACCACCTATTCCCCATGAATTATCAATATTATGATAAAATATTGGTTTTTAAAAAGGGAGTTAATATTCTGGCAGGAATACTTACATTTTTCTGCTTCTTGGAGCGACCTGATTGCTTCACCACATTTATCACTAGCCAACAAAGTCTGACCATGATAACAGTAAGCCTGATAAAAGGAACAAATACTTATTCATTCTCTCCCCGCATGATGCTTTCCACTATTATTGTTCTATATATGTGTCAGACTAATAAATGCCTTTATTGTTTGAAGTATCAACGCAATCTCTTACATTACTTTACTTGAGTAAACCTCTCCTCATCTCTCTTCATATACAAGGTGGAATTATGTCAAGGCTTGCACCACAACAGCTTTCTAACTATGTCTGGAAAGCCAAGTTATTTGTTGAAATCTGTTTTTAAAATTAGGACATAGCAGATAAAGGAAATTATTGTGCTAATGCAGAGGGAGAGAAAAGGAGTGTTTTGAGGTTAAGGACTAAAGAGAAATGCATCAGCCTGAAAATTTACTCTTTAAATATCTATATTAATGCAGGAATTGCATATTATCTTACAAAGTAATACTTGAAAACAGATTATAAGACTTAAAAAATAAAAATATCTACTTAGACCTGAAAAAAGGTTTTTGATTATCTCTCACATAATACTCTATTTAACAAAACAATTAAGTTTGGTGAGTATAACAGACTGAAAAGTAACCTATAAAATGGTCCTTATGGATGGTTCCTCACCAACTTAGGTGATATATTGTGTGGTGTGCCTTAAGATTAGAATTAGTAAATATCTTTCTCAAAGTACAGGATGGAATAATTGAGAGAATTCTCATTAAGTACGTAGAAGATTCCAGCCTGAAAGTGGGTTTCGAATCAAACAGTAATTCCATTGCTATAATACAGGTCTACAATTCTACATTATCTCTTTCCACCCACTTTAATTCACAATGACTGTACTGATTATCAGTGAACATTTACTGAGAGTTGTCCATTATTTGTGAAATGCTCACGAAGAGTCTGGTGAGATGAGAGACTTGGCACTTAAGGGGTTGGAAAGACAGTAATTACATTGTTCTTAGGGTTATAAATACTTACATAAGCTGTGTAGAAACACATTTTCAAGTGAAGATATTTTCTCCATTTAGCAGAATATGCAGGCTCCAAACTGGATAAAGTATGATCTAAAGTTACATTTCAAAAAGCAAAATATAATTTCACCCTGATTCATTAAAGACTTTTAGTTCCTGTGTTCTGATGCTAACAGCAGAATGTCTCTCAAGTCTGAATAAAACTCAGGCATTTACACATTTTTTAATGTGTAATTAAAATTAAAGTAAAAAATTTTTTTAAACAAAACAAAACAAAAATCCTTCTTTATTTAAAGTGATTTATTTTCCCATATTCCAAGCTACATAAGGTTGGTTAAATACCATAGCATCTCTTTGATTTGATGGTTAATGTAAACTTAAGATAATGATAAAAATAGTTATGACCAAGAACTTCAAAGTACTGTAAACACTATTTATACTATTATCTACTTTTAAAAATTTATATAATGTAGCAATGCCAAGAGTAGTCTAGTCACCCAAGTCAGAAACACGGAAAATACTCTCCTCTCATTCATTCCCCTCATCGCTGAATCTTGTATAACACACACACACACACACACACACACACACACACACACACACACACACACACACACACACACACTCACTCACACACACTCACTCACATATCCTTCTGCCAAACACCTCTCAAATCTATTTCTTCCTCTCCATTTCCTACTTCACTGTCTTTGTCAAATCTTTCATCATCTTCTCCACAGACTATAAGAATTTCTTAAGTGTTGAGTCAGCCTATACTATTACTCCTTCACACAGCACGCCCATATCTCATACTGTAATCAGAGACCTTTCTTAAATTCAAATCCAATCAAGTCAGATTTACTTTATATCTTTTAATTTTTATCTACAGAATAAAGGCCAAACTTCTTAGATTGTCTTATAAACCAATTCCTGATCTTACACATGTACACTTTCCCAATCTTTTCTATCCCTCATCCTGTGGTTTAGTTAAAAGCAACTGTCTAGGTCCCAGAATGTGCTAAGTTCTTTCTTATCTCTGCACATACTATAGAATATTCTACTCCCATATTCTAAAGCTTCCTAGGAAACTTAAAACTTCTATTTATATTTAGAAATAAGGCTAAAACACCATCATCCTCTAGAATTGCACCTACCCAGATTGTTTGGGTTCTTATTTCACTGCTGTAATGTCTTACTTCATTCATCATGTAATCATGTGGTTACGTGTTTGTCTCCTTCCCTAGACTGCCAATCTAGTCTACTTATCTCTACTCAGCAACTAAAACAGTAACTATCCCATAAACAGAAACATATGCATGTTTCCTAAATAAATGAATGAAAAGAATTAAAGGCTGATCAGAGAAACTGAGTTTTAGTCCCAACCTCCCACCTGCTAGGAGTAAATTATGGGTTAGTTATGTTAACTCTCTGGATTTTCAGTTTTTTGTATAAATAAGGATAGTAACTGTAAGGCTATAAAGACTCCCCAAAATTTAAAAGCAAAAAAGCTGTATGTGTAATTATTAGATATAACTGGTTAAAAAGTACAGCATTGTCCTTTCCATTAGAAGTTATACAGCTTACTAACTATGAAAAGCTCTAATTCTTTTATTTATCTTAAGCAAGATAAAGATATTACTCCAATTTTGCAAATAATGAAACAATCTGAGAATTTTTTTGTTTTGTTCCCTATTAAGCCAAGAGCAAATAAATCTGAAAATATTAAGACTAAAGATAAAAACAGAACTATACGCTTACCAGCTTTTTGATAGAAATTGGCTGTTTCATATGCCAGTGCTGCAATTAGTCCAGGAGCATGTTTTAGTTCAATTGCTCGAGCAATTGTTACTGGAACCAAAACACAATAAAGAGATTCTATAATTAAGTTCACTTCCATTCACCCTAGTCCAATTATAACAGCAAAACACAGTCTGATAATCTTTTTGAGATTTTCATAGTTAGAAGTTCTAACATGAAAACTTACGGATAACGCAAACACGAACAGAAAACACTAAGCTTGTTGGTTTGATACCATTTCTTTAAATAACTCAGCCAATTATTAGCTAATCACAGAGAATTACTACTATAAAATTTCATGATGTAATAGGAAACAAATACTTTCAGAGTGAAATAAAGGAAAATAAACGTCTACAAAGTTTCTCTATAGTTTTCATGTTAAGTCCCATTTCCAACCATTGAAAGGTGAAGACTTCAAGGTAAGAGGAGAAAGAATCAGCATCGCAGAGGGGAAAGATGAGTTAAACAATTAATTTTATGCCGTTCGAAGTGGCATGAAATCAAAATCCTCTCAAAAAGAGCCATTAAACTGTAAGCCCTTTTCCTGCTAAGAACGAAGGCAAACGCTAAAGGCAAAATTATTTACCACTATAAATTTCTCAAAACCTGAAACTCAATTCTAGCTAGTTCTGATGGAAAAAAAAAAAAGAGTTAAATGCTAATACAGACTTTCTTAAAAGAAAAAAAATCTTACAATATTTAGGATACCTTCTTGAGCTTCAGCCTGACACTGGATAATATAAGTGTCTATGAGCCGTGTCTCTAAATCCCTTCCCTTTTCTGCAGGTGTTATAAGTTTTGGGATATGACTTTCCTGAGAGAAGAAACAAAAACAAACAAAAAACAAAGCAGCCAAATTTTAGTTTAACCCAGTTGTTAGAGATGAAGAAAATGGAAGTTATGAGACATTCAATTTGGGGACTTACCAGAAATTTAGGGTACAAACACAAACTGTAAAAGAGCAACAGTAAGCTTTATAGAGAATAAAAGTTTCTATATATTAAAACTCAGCTTTTATAAGAACAAGGAACTCAAGAGCAAACTTTGGGTCATAATAGATTGCTCAGATATGCAAGCCTTACTTCCATCTTAGAAAATATTCAACTGAAATAGTAACCAAAATTCCCTTTTGCATTATAGCCTGAATTGTTCATTCACATTAATAATTAAAGATATAAAGAAAAAAATACTACAATCCTACACCTAATTCAGGGTCACAGCTTTTAAGTCACTGTAAAAGTATCTTATTTTATAATGAAAAAACCCAACATTGGCCTCTAGGAGGCCTTCAGTAAATAGCAGTTTAATTAGAGTGATGGAGGATGGGGTGGGGGGAGGATTCTGGTTGGAAGACATTATCCTTTCTCCTAATTCTCATCATATCTCCTGGCAATTTAATATAATTAGATTGTAGTGATTGTCCTCTAGCATTTTCACTGAGATACAGAAAATACTCGTACAATCAGAAGTTCGGTTTTTAGAAGCTGATCCTGGCAACTGCCACAGAGAGCAGTGAGAAATGGTAAGAACCATCAATTTTTGTGTTCTGTTTTCTCCCATCATTTTAGAAAAGATAAAAAATATAAGCAGTGTATTACAACTTGAATTTTCTAATTGTAAAAGTTACTGGTGATTTTAAGACTATAATAGAGACATTTAATATTCAGTAATTGGCTACACTCATCAATGAGGTACTTAACATAAAGAAAACAGAACACATACTCTTTTTACATAATGAAACAATTCTTCATCCACAAAAAAGAAAAAAAAATTATTAAACAAAGATTTAAAAATATATAAATATAAATTTTATTTTTTTTTACCTTTAAATGTTTAAAAATCCCAGCTGCAACTTTTAGGCTTCGATGGACTTCTTTTGCTTCATCTTCTGTTATGCTTAAAGACAATGTTTACATTAATGAGAGGATGAAACCCATTTCTGGTATTAACACCAACAACTAATACATTGTCATAAAACATTTGTGTTCTTCACCACTAGTTTTCTTCCTTTTAAAAAATCTCATTTTGACACTTAAAAAAGTAATAAATGCACATAAAAATATCTGGAGAAGATACTAAGTATGAAAAAAAGAGTGACCCTGACTAGAGGTAAATGCTGAACAAAGGCTTGTTTTTTCTTTCAGACATCTGTACATAAACAAGCACAAAATACTATATACACTTAATGCATGCACCCATTATGTACACAATGGTAATTATACTCACTGTCTCGCTTGTTTTAATCACCTAACTTACTTTAGAGATAATTTTACTTCAGCATGTACAATTCAACTTCATTTTTAAATGGTTGCATATTACTCCCATGTATGGATGAACCATTAAATAATCTGTCAGTTTCCTACTACTAGTATCCACTTTAGCTATTATAAAAATTGTGATTTTGCAATTCTTCACTATTCCTAAACATCTTTTCACATACTTATAAGCCTTTTGTATTTCTTTTTCTGTGAATTGCCCGTTCATGTCTTTAGCTTATATTCAAATGATTTGATGGCCTTTCCTTTGTTGATTTGTAAAAGTATATATTATAAAAACAAAAAATTTATCATATGCACTGCAATGTTTTTGAAATCTTGTAATTTGGTTTTTTTTAACTTTGTTTATGGTAACTTCATGTAGTCAAATATTCAATCTTTTCCTCTTTGGTTTCTTGGTTTGGGATCTTATTTAGAATAAGACCATAATCTTTTTCCCCTTTTAACACTAGGTTCTATAATTCTGATACTTAACATATTAACATTAGGAAGCATTCTTTCACTTATCCAATGTGGTACTTTTTAAATCAATAGTCTAGGCTTTTTAATAATGAAGCTCCAGTTATTTGAAAAATGACACATATGCCTATAACCCTTCCCTTTTAACTTACTTTTCTTTTCCAGCCAATCTTGATGCATATTTGGTATACCATAAAGCTACATTAAATCCCATGGAAATTAATTCAAAAACAGCATCCTGCTGGGCGCTGAAATTATAAGTTAATTTAATTAAGTTCTGTTAATTACTGAAGCATTGCTACATGAAGCCTATTGAACATTCAACTTAAAATTACAAAGAACTATATGCTAACTGGTACATATAAAGAAAATGGTTCTTGTGTTTAATACAGATGGAGAGATAAGACACAAAGTAACTAACAATGAGCGATTAAATATAATGATCCAGTATGGACTATGTACTTCATAATAATAAACATGAGAATAGTAGTTCCCAAAGTTTAATGTACACAGAGTAGCTTTAAAAATACAGATTTCTGGGACTTAACCCAAGAGAGTCAGAACGTCTGGCATGGGGTCCAGAAACTATTTTTAACAAGTACTAGTTGATTCTGAAATGGGTGGTTCTTACACCAGGGGTCTTTAAAAAGTTCATGGAAGGATTCATATTATCTTTCAATTCAATTTTTCCGTGAACTTTTTGAAGTATCCTCATTCGATATTTTAAGAAAATGGAATTCATAGGAGAGATCGTTTCAGGACAGGATGATTAAAGAAGGCTTAGTGGTGTATATAAAATCTGAACTATGCCTTGAAAGATGACTAGAAGGAAAGCAGGACATCCCAGGTGAGGGAATGATGCTGTCAAAGCATAAGAAAATATGAAGATTTTCCTGGTAGTAGTGACCCAACCAGCTTGACTGGAGCAGACGGTAAAAAGAAATCCAGGAAAAGAAGGTCAAAAAGCCAGGCTGAAGCCAAACCGTACAAGAATTTGAATGCTAAGCCAATCAGTATTTTACAAAGAAAAAGGTCTTAAAAACAAGTATATTTCATACCTTGTTCGTTTCCTTCAGATTCTATTACTAAATATGACATAAAGGAGATAGCAAAAGCATACTAAGCAAATAAGATGTTAATACCAATACAGTATAGTGAATATGGTATTCAGTATCGCTCTTACATGAACCTGAAAATTCTTTATACGTCATCTCATTTGTCTCAAATGATGAAGAAAGCAGAAACAATATCCTTATTTTACACGTGTGATACTAAGATACAGAAAAGTTACGAAAGGGAAGAAGAAACTAAAATCATGACTGTATTTTTTATTTATTTGTGGCCCCCACCTTAAAAGGAATGGAGACATGGCAACTTTTTAGATTAAAAAGGAAATTTGTTATAAAATATACAATATTCAAAAATAATTTATAAACTATCACATTTAGTATACATTTAATATACAAAAATATGAAAGTTATGAATAAACTTAAAACAGTTTTACCCTCCTGAAAAAAATTTAATACATAGTTTAATAGCTTATTCTTTTCAGAAAGCACTGAGAACTTCCAATCAAATGAATTACATCTGGTGATCTAATGGACATATCTAATCTATAACTTTACCTTTAAATAATAAGACAATTTTGCTAATTTATGTGAAATCTCATGAATAACTCTCCCTTTTTATCCTTCAACATCTAGTAGTCAAAGTATGTATAGTTGAAAATGCATTTTTTGGAACAGATATACTCACAGCTCAATTTCTGCAGAATAAGTACTAATCAAGCAAAAAGTAACTTAGTCTCACATGTGCTGAATATTTAGTATCACTTAAGGTCTTCATCACACAATTTTTCAGTCTCACAAAACTGTTAAAAAAAATGTTAAACAGTAGCTTGCTGTTACACGGAATCAAAATTTCGCAAGGTGGGAAAAAGTGCCAAATTTATGTAATAATGCCAAATAATCATTTTAGAATCTGTCAAAGTTGCATAATGTAATAATGATAAAAAAGATCTGATTCTTTAAAAGCTCACATAAAGAAAAACAGAAAATGAGGTCTCAGAAAACTTTAGTATCCCAGAATACTAAAATTTGAAAGGATACATAGTCCCTACTTCCTACCCAATTTATAAACTCTTCATACAATATTCCTAAAGAAGGAAGGAAACTAACATTTAATGAATGTCTTATTATATGCCTATCATTACATTATTCACCTAACATTTTATTTTGTTCTCCACAAGGTATAGTTGAAAAAGCAGATGTTCACTCAGTATAAAACCAGGGACTGCATCTAGATATGTATGAATCTAACATCCATACTCTCCTTTATAATGCACAGTCTGCCCTAATCTTTCAGCAATCTCCAATTTCTTCCTTTCTGTTTTTATAAAACAGTAATTCTGAAGCAAATTGAAATAAAGATATATGGGCATTTTAACAATCTGATCTCTTTCTTGTTATAATTAGATGTTATAAATAGTTTCAAATGAGTGATGAGAAAGCTCTGAAGGGAAGTTTTTAAAAAGAACACAGACAGTGAAGAGAAATAAGGAAGAAAATAAATACTGTGAATCAAAAGAATATGAATTGGAGAGAGAGAGAAAGAAAGAGAAAGACTGATCAATGACATCTGAACCATCCATCAGAAAAAGAAAAGTAAGGGAAAAACCAAAATGCTGCTTGGCTTAAATGTAGGCAAAGAATGAAAGCCAGGTTTTCGGTTCCAAATTCCCAAATGATTCTTTGTGTATTATTAAAGATCAAGGATGTTCGATTCTAGTTCACATTTGTACTGATTATCTCAAAAATAAATTTGGCTTGGGAGAAACAAATTGTATTTTTACTTAATAAAATATATTAGAATTTAGATCAAATGCTTTTAATTAATTTCCTGAGAAGAGAAAATGCTGATCAGACCTATATTTTCCTTCAAATGCAAAAGCTTTGAATTAGCCACTGGCTAAATAGTTACAAAAACTGGCTTCAATTCAGTACTACAATAGCAGTGCTTACCTTGGAACCTGTCCTTGTAATGTATCAGTCCACTTGAAATTTTGAATATACCGTAACTTGCTTTCTTGGGTAGATTCATCCAATGAATTTATGAAACCTATAAAAAGATACAAGACATTTTAGTTTTAGAAGAAATAAATATCAAGCGCTCTGTTTAGAAAAATTTTCAGATAATGAAACTTCAAGCCCCTCTCTCCCTTTCTACATCTCACAACTTCTCTTGAGGTAACATAACAGAAATATGCACACATCTAATTTTCAAACTGATAGAAAGACCACATAACCTATATTTTCACATTTCTGAATCTCAAGCATACCAAAAGATACAGCTGGGAAGACTATTCAAATTTGAAAAGTCTAAGAATTAAATGTGAACTTTTGCACTGTTATTTGTAAAAAACGCAGATGTTCATATAAATAACTAACCTTGTAAAAGTGAAAAATATGAGTCTGCTGCACTCTTCATCATTTCTGGGTTACAGCTCAAATCAGTGAACAGTTCCAGGAGTCGTGCCCTAGAGGACCTTATGTCACTTATACGAGATGGAAAGAGACAGTGAAGTTAAGTGAGCTCTATTATTACATCAAACCTATATAAAAGTGGCTTAAAGGTTTCAACGCGAAAGCTTTAAGACACAACAAACAGTCCCACGTCTACCTCCTCTAAGATATTACCAAGTACACAAGAATGAATTTAATTAGAACTAACATTAGGGATAAACGAAATTTCTAGTAACAATTGTTTTAAGTCATACTAAAATAAACCCAGTCCAACTAAAGAGGCAAATCATGGATATAATTATGTAATAAACATATACAAGTTTTAATTAAAAAAAAATGAAAGACACACGCATTTAAGATTGAAGAGGAGGAATTAAGAATGAGTAACTTCAATTAACCAGGTGACAATAAAATTTTTCTGAAAATGGAAATTTAACAAATTTGTGTATGATTTTAGTATTTTCTCCAAATTACTAAATTTGACATTACAACACAAAATGTCAAAAGATACTTTATTAAGTAAAAAAAATCATATTTAAAAATGAAATTGCATTCTATAATTCAATGTACACATCAAGAATATCTAAAAACACATGATCATTCGTTGTTTTTTAAAATTTTTTAAAGAATTTTGTATGTACTATATCCTTTATTCATCACAAAACCCTACGGGGCACAAAATATTGTTATAACTCATTTTACAAATGAAGAAACTGAAACACAAACTGTTAAATGACTTGCTCAAACTCACAAAGTGAATGGCAACCCTGGAATCAAACCCAAATAGTCTGATTCCAGAGGCATTAGGAGTTTTAAAACCACTCCCTAGGGCCCACCCCATGGCTCACTTGGGAGACTGTGGCGCTGGGAGCACAGTGGCGCTCCCGCCACGGGTTCGGATCCTATATAGGGATGGCCAGTGCGCTCACTGGCTGAGTGCGGTGTGCGTGACACCAAGCCAAGGTTTCTGATCCCCTTACCAGTCACAAAAAAAACCCCCCCCAAAAATAAAAATAAATAAAAAATAAAACCACTCCCTAGTCTCCATTCTCCTTTACTTCCCTACAGCAATAAATGTTATAGATCCACCTTCCTCTTGAAGTTCTTTTCTCCCTTTATTCCAATAACACAAAATTGTCCAGGTGCTCCCTTATCTCCAAAAGTTCCTTCTGTATTTTTTGTAGGTCCCCTTCTTATTCCCACCTCCAAACATGTCCAGTCTTTGGCTCTCTAGTTTTCTCTCTTTTGAGATCTCATCTATCAGTACCACTTCAACTACATCCATTTCTAGATCTTCTTTGTTAGGTCTAACTTGGTCCTGTTCCAGTTCCACATCCAATCCAGAAGAAAATTAGCTTAGTGAGGATTGCAGAAATCACGTTATACAGATAATGACTGAAGACACTTGGAATGTGTGTAAATGACTAAAGAAAGACTACATTTAAAATGTAAGCTCCAAGACAGCAGGGGGTGTATATCCAGAATTTAGTAGGTGGCTAGGATAAAGCATATACTGAAAATTATCTGTTCGGTGAAAGAATACTAACTTTTCAAATATTTTCTTTTGAGATTTAGAAGGGCTGTAATGTAGCAATGATGTTTAGATGAGAGCACAGACTTACTCTCAAATAGTCTAGATGTAGTGCTTACTGATTGGTATTAACTCTAAGGAGACTTATTCCAAGAGTATATACCAATAAATACAGGTTGAGCATGCCAAATCCGAAAATCCCAAACCTGAATGCTCTAAAATCCAAAATTTTTTGAGTGCTGTATTAGTCCGTTTTCTGTTGCGTATAACACCATATCTGAAACTAAGTAATTTATAAAGAAACAAAATTTATTTCTTAACAGTTTTGGAGGCTGGGAAATCCACAGTCCAGGGGGCGTATCTGGTGAGGGCCTTCTTCTGGGTAAGAACTCTACAGGGTCCCATGGTGATGCAGGCAATCACATGGTAAGAATCGCATGAACAAGAGAGCTAACCTTCTTACTTGCAGTCCTTATAAGGCCATCAGAACCACGCCCATGACAACCCATTAAACCATCAATCCATTACTAAGGTGAATGGATCAATCCATTCAGGAGGGCACAGTTCTCACCTCAAGATTCAATCACCTCTTAAAGACCCCACCTTCTACCACCATATTGGGGGTTAAATTCCAACATGAGACTGGGGGAACATTCAAACCACAAGAAGCGCCAACATGACACTAAAAGGAAATGCTCATTGGAGCATTTCGATTTCAGTCTTTCAGATTTGGGACTCAATTGGTAAGTATAATGCAAACATTCAAAAATCCAAAACAATCCAAAATCTGAGAAAATTCTGTTCCCAACCATTTTGGATAAGGGATACTCAACCTGTACATATAGCTGACCAAAAATGGGATGTGCTACATGACAAATTTTTCATTGTTTTAGGTATTTCTCTAGAAGGTGAAAAATAGTGATTCCTGGACTAGGAAGAAATTTGAATCCTTAAGGCCTAAACTCAAATAGTTTGCTAGCTATGTATTCTATGTAAGTGCTCAATCATCACCTACAGCCCAACTTGTGTAAAGTTAGATCATCTTAAAATTATAGAACTGAGAAAAATCTATCTTAGGAATATCTAATTTAGGCTGTTCATTCTATAAATTAGGAATCAGGCCTCAAAAAGCTAAGGAACTTGCCCAATCTACAGATCGAACTGCTAAGCTGGGGCCAGACTCTAGGAGTCTAGATCAGAGGTTGGCAAACTATAACCTATAACTTGTTTTTGTATGACTCTTAGTCAATTTTTGTTTAGCCTTCAAACTAAGAATGGTTTTAATATTTTTAAAGGGTTGTAAAAATTAAACAAAGAAGAATATGCTACAGTGACTGTATGTGGCCCACAAAGCCTAAAATATTTACTATTTACCCAATTACAAAAAGAGTTTGCTGACTGTTGGTTTAGACTAATAAGCCAATTTTCCTACCTTCTGCCCCAATCACTTCTTAACACAAAAGCAGCAACTCTCCTGATTTTCATTTACTGGTACCACCAATGTCTTAATCATCTAGGTTCTTTCTCATATAAACTGAATCCTTTTCAATTTCCCAGAGCAAATTGATCAGGTTGGTTGACTCATCCTTTGAATATCTCTTGTAAAGGGATGGATAGTAAATATTTCAGGCTTTGCAGGTCATAAGGTCTCCATTGGGACTACTCAACTCTGCTGAGGTAGAAGAAAGCAGCCAGAGGCAGCCATAGACAATATGTAAATAAGGTGGAGCCGGATGTATTCCAATACAACTTCATTGATAAAAACAAGCAGAGAGCCAAACTTGTGGGACACAGTTTGCCAACCCCTGATCTAAGTCATAAAATATATTTAAAACCCAGTTCAAGTCCTTTCTCCTATAGGGAACTGAAGGACATTTACAGGCCTTTGAAAGCTATTCCAGGTCATTGGGGTCTTTCCCTGACCTGAACTCAATGAATTTGCTTTCTGGCCAATTAACAATGTCCATATGCAGTACTACTTTGTGCAGTCTCTTGTACTGTCGTAATATACAGCTTAACTCTTTTATTGTGATTGCTTTAGCCTCTCTGGGACTCACTTGTCTAAAATAAAGAATCCTGGCCTAGATGACAGTCAAAACTTAAATAACCTATTATTTAGCTCTTCACATGTCATTTATAAATTTATAAGGAATCTAAGGCTAGAGACAGTGTGTTGTATATTTCTGTATTGTACATGGAACCTAAAAAAGTACCTTGTATCCAAGAATGGTGCAATCAATATATGTTGAGATTGACTAAAACTTACTTGCAAATTTTTGAAGCAGGAGGGCCACTGGCTACACCATAATAGTTAAAAGAGACAGGAGCTGTGGCTTTCAATGGGTTTCTATGAAACCAATGGGTCATTTTCTCCAGATGTTTTCTACAAGCAAAAAGTAAGAAATGTATAAAAATTAAAGCCAAAACATTTAACAAAAAATGTAAATGGTATAGTTATTTTTAAAATAAAAGTTTACTACAGGAAATACACATTTTATATATAAAATATTATATATAAGACATACAAATATATAAATAAAATGATTCACTGCCTCAAGTCAATTTTTTTAAATTGATCATCTATTTATGGTAGTCTATTTATTTATTTAGATTTTTTTTGTTTTTTAATAAAACACAAAGCTGTTACTCCCCCCAACCGGTTTCATAACATGTGCTAAAATCTAAGCATACAGAATAGACACCTGTGAACAGCAAAACGGACACTGGGCTTTGTGATCACTGGAACACAAAGCTTCCCACTGATCCTCTAGAAAGACATGAAAAATTTCTCACTTTGGGGATGTCAAATAACTTCATTTTCACTAGATTAGGACATTACTAAAAATGAAAAGCACTGTCTGCTGCTCACCTTAATTCTTCCCTGGATAACTGACCTCTAAACACTCATAGCTCATTTGGTATTTCAATTGGTAAATCACAGTGGACTTGCATAGATGTAACTGTAGTCATGGGAAAAACCCAAGATGGGTTAGACAGGACAGATTACCATAAGCTTTTCCCAAAGTAGGAGAAACTCCATGTCAATGTGACAGATTGTGTCACTCAAACTCTACAAAATGAAAATAATGCCAGATATAAAAGGTAGTTTAAAATCCTTGGATGATGTTAAACAGACACCCCACAAACACCTGTGGCCTGAATGAAAAGTCTCAAGTCCCAGAATCTCATGTCCAAACTATTTATGATAGTCTATGTTTAGATCAGGACCATAAAAAAACCAGCATTTGGACATTTGCCCTAAGTAATTTCAATGTTAAATATACAGGAGCAGTAATGTTTAAACTTTAAACAGCATAAAAATCACTCGGGGGCAGGGGGAGGAGATGGTCTTGTTAAAATGTAGGTTCTAATTCAAAGTCTGGGGGAGGACCTGAGATGCTGATGCTTCTAATAACTAGACTACACTTTTGAGAAACAAATTATAGACTGTGGTCAAATAGCTGCAAGTGAGAAGAGCACAGGACCAAATGAATGTAATTTTCAAGACACATTCACATGGTGACCCTCATTCACATTGTTAAGGCTACTTGAAATAAATAGGTTTTAAGTTAATAACATTTCCCACATATTGCTAATGCCAATGGATTGGTTATAGCATGTGTTCTATAATAAGTGTATTTTCCACAAAACAGCAATCGAAGAATCAATGTTTTAATGATAAAACTGTAATACAATACTTCATCAATAACTTCTAAGAACAAGAACATTTGAAAAACTACCTATGTGAAATGCCAACTTGAAAAGAAAAATAAGTTCCATACTTCTTAGGATTAAAAAAAAAAGGCAGTATGTCACTGGGTAGGTAGTTCCAGCCTAGCGGAAGCTTAAATATGGCAATTAGATTCCAGGAAGGAACAGAGACGAAATGCCGACAAGACTTACGTAATTTGAAGGCATTATACAAGACTATCAATCAACTTTTATTCTTAGAAAAAAAAAATGTGGGCTGCACAGTGTATGAAATACCTACGTTAAGGGCCGGCCCGGTGGCGCACTGGATAGTGCGCCGCTTGGGAAGCGCGGCGGCGCTCCCGTCCGAGGGTTCGGATCCCACATACAGACCGGCTCCCGCTCACTGGCTGAGCGAGGCGCGGGAGCAACACCGAGGCTTGCAATCCCGTTGCCGGTCCCCGGTCCGGTCCGGGGGCAACACTGAGGGTTGCGATCCGTTGCCGGACACGGAAAAAAAGACAAAAGAAAAAAAAAAAAAAAAAAAGAAATACCTACGTTAAGCACCTCCCTTATGATATTTACTTATTCATGACAAAACCGGTTTTGGGGAGCATCACAGTTAATAGAGAATGCATTGTGTACCCAACGAAGAATTGAGCAGGTTCATTTATGACTCAAAACATTTTAGAAAACATCATCTGAATATTTTTTATATTAACCTCCATTACAGCCTAAGTAAACACAGCACCTACGTGCAGATAAATCAAGCCTTCTAGAGACAATGCAGACTCTACACTGCATTTTGTGAAAGCAAATTTTCTACACATACTTCTTCAAAGGCGGCCTCCCACCGCCAGGATGAAAATGTCTCAAGTTTCGCGCATCTTTACTCCAGGAACGAAGTGGGTAGGTGCTGTGTTCTTTACCCTGCCCACCTCTCCCCTCCCGCGACCGGGCTCCCTTCAGTCGCCAGGAATTCTGGGGGTTGGGTGGAGAAACGACGCAGCCCCGCAGGTACGAGGGTGCCTTTGGAGCGCCAGCACAGCACCCGGATCGAAGCTGCTACCTTCACCACCTCCGCACGACTGCGTGAGCTGACAAGGGCCCCCAAATCCGGAGGTCCCGGGCGCGCCAAGGAACTCACCTGAGGTCAAGCTCTGAGCGTCCACTTCCGGCTTGCCACCCAGCCTCTTCCTCCCGGCGTCGGGCCGTGCCAGGCGGCAGCCGTGCGCACGCGCCAAAGCTAATGTGCCCTCCGTCCCCACAGGCATTTTTGTGGACAGCCGACACCATCAACCCGGGAAGGGTGGGCAGACGACGACCGAGCGAACCCTTATGTAGCTTACATTATAAGACCTCCACTGCCAGTGGAGACGCGGGGCAAGGGGATTCGGTGAACTCAGCTGTTAACTATCATTGATTCTCGGGGCCAATATGGACTTTTTCTTTCGTTTGTTTCAAGGCACTAGACGGAGACTTTTGGTACACTGTGCAGGTGTCCAGGGACACTGGTGTGAAGGGGTGACCCTACTGCTTGGGGCTCCGGGGAAACCGGGGAGGGATACTACCGGGAAACACCCATCCTCAGACACACTTACCGATTTCTCAGAGCCTATACAGCCCTCCTCCTGAGGGGAGAAGGCACGAGTCCGCACGCGAGGAAGGGGGGAGTCGGAACCAAGGCGACTGAACTAGCGACGGGCGCCAGGCGGCGCCTGCCGGTCACGTGGCCCGGCGGCCATGACGGCTACCGAGGCCGCGGCGCGCGCGGCGTCGCAGCCCCTCGGGACGCTCTGCTCCTCAGCCCTTCTCGCGCCTCCTCGCTGGTGCTCCCTCCTAAGCCGCGTTCTCTCCCCCGGAGAGGAAGAGGAGAGCTGGCCTGGCCTCCCCCGCCCAGGCAAGATGCCGCGGTAGCGACGGCGACCGCGGCGGAGTGGGGCGGCCTCAACCTAGCCCG